CACTAACTCCTCCCTCTATTCGGTACCTCGATGCCCTGGACATCCCGTCTGCCTGTCAGGTCACTTTGAAAAAGCCCGGGTTGGGAGGGGGGCGCGGGGGCGCCGCGGGGGACCCCGGAGCCGGAATCACAGTATCTTTCTCCTTCACTCCACAGACTATGAGCCCCGATCGCAGGAACTGCACCTGGCCAGCCCTGGAGGACCCCAGCCGGCTGACCCGCTGAAGGATTTAATCCCTAACACCGGACCTCTTCTTGGCTGCTTTGCCCGTTACTGTTATCATTTAATTATCAGTTTTATTTTGTTTTTTATTATTTAAAAAAAAAACCATTACTCTCACCAGGATCATCATTCCCTCTTGCCCCAAACAACGTCTCACACGGCTTCGGATTCAGTTTCTTTTTGCTCCTCTGCTTCTTCCACCAGCACTCCCGGCTGGCTGCTGCTGCCGCTCGCGGCTACTGCTACCGCCGCTTAGATCTCGGCGTCCAGCGGAGAAGACTCAGCGGCAGTGGGGGGAGGAGTAGGAGGAGCGGGGAGGGGCGGCGGCGGCGGCGGCTGGCTAGGGGCCGGAGTCGCCGCTGCCGGCTCCCCGGCATGGATGGCCGGGACTTCGCTCCGCCGTCGCATCTGCTCTCTGAGCGCGGGAGCCTGGGCCATCGTAGTGCAGCAGCCGCCGCCGCCGCCTCGCGCCTAGCCCCGGCAGGCCCCGCAGTCCAGCACCCGGCTCACTTCCCGCCCGGCAAGTACTTCCAGTCGCCGCTGCCTATGGCCACGCACACAGGTCAGTGTCCTCCCTGCCTACCCAGTCCTAACCTCGTTGCAGGAGGGTAGGGAGGGGTCCTTCTTCCAGGTACTGGAACTCTGGGGAACTCCCCGGCAGGAGGCTGAGGAGGCTACTGGGGCCTCCGCCTGGAGGCTGCCACTGTGCCAGGGAGCTGACTGCCCTGGATTCCGGGGTTCTCTTGCTTTCTTCCACGGAGAATCTCTAAGGGATGTTGGGGGAAGCGAATAAAACCATAACGATGTGTTTCGAGATGATCTGAATTTTTTTTAATGTAGAAGATTGGTATAATTTTATTAATTTTTCCCCTATTCCGAGGATTTTATAGTTTGGGACGTGTAAACAAATGGGTGAAGGTTTTGGTGGCCTCTGAATTTTTTGGTCCAGTCGAATTTTGCACTGTGCTCCACTGGCCCTGTTATCTGATTCTTCTCCCTACTATTATCAGGGAGAATAGAATAGCCCTTTAGAGCCGGGGTACACTTGGGACTAAGAGGAACAGCCGCAGAAGGAGCTAAAAATAAAGATTCCCTCCTACTTCTCCTCCTCCCTACTCCTCCTCCAAAAGAAAATAAATTCCGTTGAAATCTCTTTTCTGCATTAACATCTTTAAGATATTCTGGTGCTGGGACAAGGAGGCGCTTTCTGGTGGAACAAAACGGCTGTTCTTGGTTGGGGAAGGGGGGGGAGGGAGCAGCGTCGAACTCAGAGTGGCCTTTTCAGATTAGGGGCAGTTGTGTGCACAGGGTTAGTGTTAATAGGGGCTGCTGGTGTAAGACTAGAAAATCCTGTTTCTATATAAAGCCTTGAAGTGTCAGGGTGAGAATGGGTTTGCAGGGGATGCATTAGCTTTAACAAGTGCCTCTGGTATCCTGCTAAAGACATACAAAGCGTGGCTAGCAAAAGGGCCCGGGAACTCACAGGCATCCTTTCAAAAAAAAAATCTATTAGTTCAAGGGGTTTGGGGCTGCATGGGTTGGGAGGTGAGGGTAGAGGGAGGACATCATGACCCTCAGGAACTAGGGATCTGTGGGGTCATTGTGGCCCCAAAGACGGCTGGGTGGAATGTGGTTATTCTGAGTGTGCTTCCTGAAGACCTCTGCATTTAGTATTTTGGCAGAGTGTTGTGAATTTGGTGGAAAGGGAGAAAATAGAGCTCTCCAATGGTTTTGGCTTTTGCTGTAAAGCTGGGTGTTGGTCCCTTGAGAATATTAAAGGGAGGAAGTCGGAAGGTTGAGGGAGAAACTTGAAAACGTTGATTGAAAAAATATCAGAAAGCTTGGTATGATGAGCCTTGTGGAGTTTCTGAATTCACCTTCATCTACATTTGTGTGTGGCTCTGGTGACTATTTTATTCCTGTCCTTAGGAAAGTAATCTCCAGACTAGTGAAGTTGGAGATTCCTTTCTCTCCCTGTGACTTACATTTAATTTTTAAAAAAAATAATGTTGAGGTAGAAAAAAGTGGTGGGAAAGTTTTGCTGTGGAGTTGTCATTATCTAACTATATATGTCGGAGACAGGGAATTAGATTACTGATGTGTCACCTCTTGTTGGGAAGAGATGCCTGTGGATCTGTAATCAGGTGGTTCAGCTCTTGGATCATGCAGGTTGGCTGGGCTTTGTTTACAGTTTGCTTTAAACATGACTCATTTTTTTTGCAGTTTAAAAAATTCGGCAGTAACAGTTATTATTGCTAGCTTGATGAACTGTGAATACTAATAAAATTATATCTGCTTTAATGGGATTACAATTAGTATGTGGATTAAAAAGGATAGCACAGACAAGGCTGGAAGGAAAGTTGTCAGTTGGGAGTGCACTCAAAAAGAAGACTATAAATTTCCTAAAAAGAAAAACATACACACAAAATTGCATAATTACTAATGGGCTTTTAGCATTTATAACATAGTGAGATCCCCAAAAGTGCCACTAACAAACACACTGATCTTGACACTTATAAACATGCTGTTCTATATAATTACAACCTTATATCTGCAGCCTTTTTCCATTCAAATATTTCCCAATCCAAATTGGACCTCTCTCTTCTCTGATTTTTTTCCTTTTTTGTTTTTTCATCTTTTTCCCCCTTTATTTTTATGTAAAACTGAGGAAGAGGAGAAAAAAGTGTTGTGTAATTATTGATTTAAATCTCTTCCTCCATCTCTATCTTATTAAATGTCTCTCTCCCTACTCTCTTAATTCAAGGTCTTCCTTAGGGGAGCCTTTGAATGTGGTCAGCACACAGAAAGCAGCAGAATTTTGATCTCCTAGCCTCTAAATCTTTTCTGAACAGCCTAAAGTTCCCTCTGAACAGAGGCCTCTCAAGCCCTAGGTGTCCAGGCCTGAAGGATATGCCTCTCCAAACATTCTAGGTGACTAGAATTCCTCCCCAAATATTCCAGTGCTCTTTAGCCTGGGCAGGTAAAATTGAATCAGAAATGAGTGTTAAATAAATTATGGTTGGGATCTTGACACTGAGTATTTAATTATAATACAGAGACAGGCTGGGGACTGACCACAAGCCGAACAGCCTTCCCCTACAGACGAGGCTATGTGGGGATGGTGCCAACTTTGAATGAGATCAGGTAATTAATGCCTCCCCAACTCCCTCTCACCTCCCATTCCCCTTCATATTCAATATCTCACAGCTTCCATTGGGTCTAGGCTCAGCTTGAAACTCATCTTTTTGGTCATTCAAGGCTATAGAAAAATCTCCCAGGAAGATGAGAGCCAAAGGGATGGAGTGGAATGGAAACTGAGCCTGCACTCTAGGTAACTGTGGATCTCAGTGTACTAAATGTTTACTATTTGATAATGTATAGACAGCAAAAGGATATTAAGAATGGGACAAGTCTAGGCCCTGAACTCCCCTAGCTATTTTGCTTCCTTTACCCCACACATTCAACCCTCTCTGTCCCCTCCCCCAACAAAAATCAACCCCTCCCCCCCCCATACATCTGGTTCCAATGGAGCCAACCCAGGGAGTTTCCTCAGGGATAAGTTGAAGCCTTCAGAAAAGACGAAGAACTCATTTGATCTGAACTCTGTCCTGACCCTCCCCACTCACCCAGTCATTTTCTTCTTTCCCCCACTAGTCCAAAGGAAGGTTTCAGAGGGACAAAACCAACTAGAAGATATTTGACTATTTAGAACTTTTGTGATAGGAGACATTCTCTGGTAAATATGGAAGCTGCAAGCTTCCATTGTATAGACAATTACATATGAAAGTGGTTTAAAGACCTTTTTTTGTTGATATAGGGGAGAGTATTAGACAAAAGTGAAAGCCACTACACCATATAGATGAACATTTAAAAATTTAATCACATTACATTGGAGAAAAAAATAAAACCAATAAATCAATGTAAATTGCCTTGGACTACATCTAAACGATGGAAGCAAGGTTATCTATCTATCTATCTATCTAAGAAAAAGGCATTTTCTAAAAAACAAAAAGAAAACCATGCACCTTAATGGTAACATACTTCTATAGCACTTTAAATGCATTCTCCCATTTGATGCTTACTCCAACCTTTATGAACCAGGCAAGGCAAATGTTTACATTTTATCCCATTTTATGAATGAAGAAGCTGAAGGCCAAACAGTGGAGCTGACTTGCTATAGGTCAAGCCAAAGTAGCAGAACTGGGATAGAGGTATTCTAACTCCCAGTCTCCCTCGTTCTTTCCACCATACTATTAAGATCTCAAAAAAAGAACAACTTGGTTGATTTTTTTTCTTTTTAGTTGATTGTTTGGATATTATATAGACGTGTTCTTAGGCCTATGGATCCATTTCCCTTTTCCTTCCACCAAGTAAGAATGCCTGATAAATGAGAACAAGGCAAATTATGCTATTATTCTCCCCCCCCCCCCACTATTTGTCCAGTTGTAAGGTGGGCCTTAAATGGATTCTACCAATCCTTTAAGAGAGTTACATTTTCACAGCTGCCCATTGTGTCCTGTTCAGTCCAGTTAGATTCCATTGGCAATACAATGTGGTTATTTTGAGTGTGCTTCCTGAAGACCTCTGCATTTAGTATTTTGGCAGAGTGTTGTGAATTTGGTAGAAAGGGAGAAAATAGAGTTCTCCACTGGTTTTGCTCTGCTGTGGAATTCTCTTGCTATGGATTTCTCTCCCTAGAGAAAGAACTGGTCTCTCCTCTTTTGCATACAGTGTGTGTGTGTGTGTGTGTGTGTGTGTGTGTGTGTGTGTGTGTGTGTGTGTGTGTGTGTGTGTTTAAATCAGCTGCAGGAGACCTTGATGGGGAAGTCAGGCTCAGAATGTTTTTCCAATTGTTTTTTCTTAAAATGAAAGTGCTGATAGTTTTATAATCGAGCTGTAGGATTTTATGGTAAAGTGCTGTTATAGTAACCTTGTCACAAAAAGGTGCAATTAAAATGTTTGGTATCATTATTTTTAGTGCAGTGTTAGAATTTGTCTCTAATACAGATGGTCCAGAGTCAAAGCTGTGAAAGCTAGGGGGTGGGGGGTGGGGGAAGAAAGAGAATCAACAATGAACCAACCCAAGATTTTTCATCAGCCCACTCTGCCTCAAGCAATTGGGATTTCCACATCATGCTGGATATTTAGTCAGGGGAGATAGTCATATCTTGGGTAAAACTCCACATATAAACATATATATTTACATATATATATATTCCTCTATGATGGTGTGGTTTATCTCTTCTGTCTTCCTTTCTGTCTTGCTTTTTCTTCTCTTTCCTTTTCGGTGCTAAGACAAATTGGAGAAACCAAGCAATGGATTATTTACATAATTCGCCTGAAAATTGAAAATTCACCTGGAAATGAGGCCTGGGTTTTTTGGTTTGGGAGCAGGAAGTGATGAGTTGGTAAGGGTCTCAGAGGTCGACTAGTGTGACTGTTAGTCAACACTTGAATGCTATCTACAGTCTGGGGTGAGGAGTTAATCTCTATTTTGATTTCTGTGTATAGATATAACAAATGACTTTCTAATTCCTCCTCTTCCTCTCTCTTCCCTCCCCCTATCTTCCAATTCCTTTTTCCCCTCCCCTTATTTCCTTTGGGTATAAATGACAATAGATTGGGAAGCCTGAAGCTTCCGAAGCTTGAGAGGGGGCTGATGTCAGTGATTGGATCTCACACCAAAAGTCAAAACATGGCATTCCCTTCCCCCACCTCCTGGTTTATTTTTGGGGTAAACCAGGGTGGAGAGATCCCTGAATGGTGAGAGAAATGGAAACTTCTCAAGTGCTAATAGAGCTTTCAGTAGATTGCGGTTCTCATAAAATTCTGTAAGAAAGATCATTTCCTGGTGTGAAAAGACCCTCATAAAGGCCCGCCCCTCTCTTCTTATGTGTTTTTTTAAAGGAAAAAAATACATTTTAGTAAATACCTCATTAACTCTCTGACACAGAGGAGTGTTTCTGCAACAGTTACCAACATTAAATAGGTGTGAAAAGAGTTACTTTTCAAAGGCTGCTTTCCCAAAGAATCCAACCATCTTTCTTTTTCAATGACAAGAAGCAAGAGACATCAAAGCAAATTCGGGGAAAACAGGCAGGAACTGCCAGCCAGGAGCTTGGTGCCCTGAACTGCCAGGCAGAACATTGTTATGCAAGGCTTCGGTGGGTGTTCTCTCTCTCTCTCTCTCTCTCTGAAATCAAAGCTCATTTTTGGAATGTGGTTTTTACCAGTGGGGATCACACTGCCATCATATCTAATTATTTCTATAAGGAGATGCCGAATTTTTCTATAGGAATATCCAGGTCACGTGAATAATAAGGCAAATTAGGGAAAGAGGCTGAGAGAATCGCTGAGCAAATAGCACATCTCCCCTGGAAAAAAAAAGGTACACCAGTTATTCTTAGAAATCTCCTTCATCTTGCTGCGAGACAGGGGACAACACAGCCAGCATAGGCAGGATGAAATGCATAGGAGGCTGTTAGAATAACATGTATTAAGCTAAAAATACCCCTCAGAAACACACATAAAAAAGCCAAATCCAACAACAGAATGAGCTAAAAATATTCCAGGCTTTGGCAAAGAGCACAGAGTTAAATAAATTAAGGAGTTAAAGAACCATTCATGGGAGTAAGTTGACTTTCTCTCTTACTGGAACTTGGTTCAAGCTAATAAAAATAATAATTTACTAGCCACCAAGCTTTTCATGAGTTTAAATTTAATTGGTGGGGTTTCTGGAGTTTGTCATTTCTTAGAGATTAGTAGGTTTGTACTGGATTTTGGGGGTGGGAATAGAACACCACTTTGGGCCTGATTGAGAATCAGTGTCCATTGCTAGTGGCTTCCTTGGAACCTAGGACATTAGATTTTCTACTCACCCCTCGGTTTTGGGGCAGAAGAGGTAGAGCGGCTGGCCATAGAGGAAGAAGCAGCTTGAAGGTGAATCATTGCTCTGAGGGAGGGAAGGAACAAAAAGAAAGAATAAAAAGTAAAATGATTATATTAATTTGATAAATGATGATGCACCTTTAAGAGTATTTTAACAAGTAAAATACTCTTCAGCCAGTTGATAGCATGTATACTGTCAACTAACATGTCATTACAGTAGGCTGTAAACATAAATAATGTGAATGTACAGTGCTTTGGATTATCCTCTCCCTGAAACCCCAGCATTTAATAGTTCTTTGCCCCTTTGGAACAGGCTAGACCAATGGGGCTAATGGGGCCACTTCCCGGAACTCATCATTCTTCTTCCTGCTTAGCTTCCTCTTTTGACCTTCCCCCGCACCCCATGCACACACCTTGGCTTCCAGAGAAGTGTTATAGCGATAGTGGTGGTAGAGGAAATGTGGCCTTTTTTCAACCATAGAAGTTTATAGAATGTGATAGAAATGTGATGTTGGAAGGAGTTTGGTGATAATGTTGGTCTGTCTGGAAGGAATTCTCTGGGGTAGGGTCTCCAAATCACCCAACCAAAATAAAAGCCATTGGTATGTGTGCCCAAAATAAATAACCAGTGCCATTCACTTAAGCTCCCTTCCAGAGCTCTATAATCTCATGATTGGTCGGTGTGTTTTTTTGTCAGGCAAGAACACATTTTAAAATTTTTATTTTGTCTAAGAGAAGTTTTCAGTTAATATTCTCAGCCTGTTCTCAAGGATTCTTAAATGCTCAGAGATCCTTAGACTCAAAGAGGCTGGTCTGGATAATCCTGGTAGATTTCTGCTTTGTCTTCTCTTCATCTGGTGTCTCTCCTACTCAGCAGCCTTCCAGAAAAACCACTGAACTAAGGTTTCTGGGAATCTCAAAAAACAAAAACAAACAAACAAAAACTATAGTTCCCAGAATGCCTGTGCTTGAACTCCAAGGTCCTGTTGGGGATAGGAGGGAAGTTCGTTTTCCTTGGCCTAAAAATGCCTGAGGTCTAGCCAGTGGCATCAGGAAAGCCTATTTGCTCTAAGTAAGGTGATACTGATTGATTTGTCTCAAGGCTCTTGGATTCTTTCTATCCAATCCCTCCTTATACTAGCTGAACAGGGCATTTTGATTCTGGAGTCATTAATAACTTCAGTATCATATATTGATAGAAGCTACCATCAAATACAAAATACTCCTTCCATCTCAGTATTCAAAGTACTGATTTGGATACAGGCCCTTGCATGCTCTGTGTTTCTGTCTCTCTAAAGTACAACTACAAAGTAACAAATATATATTACGTATATTTATTACATACATACATACCTACATATATATATATATGTGTATATATATATACATATATATGTGTGTGTGTGTGTGTGTGTGTATATATATATATACATATATATATATATACACATATATATATATATATATATATATATATAAAACACATCCCCCAGTACGTACATATCCAAATGATGTGTTGTATTCTTCAAAGCAGTTGCCTTGGGAGGCTAGACACATCCCAAAAATGACAGCTTTTGCTCAAATATTCATTGAATTCCTCTATTGGAATTCCTTTTGAGGCAGTTTATAAGCCACCTTAGAAAAGCAGTTTCATTGCTTTATAGTCACATCTCATTTCTGACTCAAAATGATATCACTCCATTTTGATAACTCCACTTAATTCACCAGACTTGGCTCTCTGTGATTTCTGGCTGTTTCCAAAAATCAAGTCTACCCTCAATGGATTAAGAGTTTTCACCACAGAGGGTATTCAGAAGAATGTACCTTGGGCTCTGAAGACATTTCCCATAGTGAAGTTCCAAGCATGTTCTGAACAATGGCAGCATCAGTGAAATAAGTATCTATGGTGACTACTTTGAAGGAAATCATTCTCAGGTGATAGAGCTAAGGTGTATGATTAAAAAAAAGTCTCATGGTGGCCACATTATAAAAAACCTTCAATATGCACAAAATCACCCTTTCCAAGCAAATGCAGTATTTACCCTAGAACCCCATGTATCAAAGGAACATTTCCCCCCAGACTTCCCTTGCTACTATTAACATCTCTGAACCTCATCTCTCCCAGTAAAAATGTGACATTAAAAACAAAAACACAACTGGGATAAAATGTGTAGAAATAAAAATAAAGGCTGAAGCTCAGCCTCTGAAAAGTTCCCACAAGCAGGGTCTGCTTCCATACTCACAATGTCATGCTTAGCTCTAACTTTCTGCCGCTCTGACATTTTTATGAGATAATAGACCATTTAGATCATGCAAGAATATTTGTCAGTGCATAGGGCCCCTCTCTTTTTTGTAATATGTAATACTTTCTACCTTCCATTGCCCTGTTGCAGATAAGCTTCTCTGAAAAAATGGTGCCTAAGGAGCTGATTGGAGCTGATCAGCCTGCATATCTCATTGGTGGTATGAGATTGTTCAGAACCCCAGTCCATTAGTTATTATGGTAAATGCTGTACTTCAATCAAGTTCCTGGCCTATGAGATGTTAGCCTTTAGTGTCCAAGTTGTGATGTGGTCTTGCATCAGCTGGCTATTGCTGCAGCTGTCCTGATGGATTAAATTCCAGATTGGGATCAGCCAGGAAGCATTTTTCATTCTGGCGGGGGCGGGGGGGGGGGGGGGGGGTGTCCGGCTCTGGGGGAAGGGATAGACAGGTGGGTTGGTTTCCTCCCTCCTCCCCCTCCCCCCTTAGTCCTTCTGCCTATTTACTAAAGAGTCCATACTGTTTTCTTTACATTCTTAAGATTACATAAACAGCCCATTTCATCTAACCTTGGAGAGAAGGGGGGAGGATGCAAGGGAGGTAGAGAATCAAGAGGCCTGCAGTTAATTTGATTCATTCTTGAGCACTAATTGCACTTCACTATGCAAAATGTCAGCCAGTCAATAAAGGTCAATCAAAGCAATCATTAAACATTTGTTATGCACCTACTATGTGCCTGTGCTAAGTGCTGGAGATACAAAGAGGCAAAAGACAATTCCTAGTCTTAAGGAACTCATAGAGTTGATGACATGGAAACAACTATGTACAAACAAGATATCTATAGGATAAATTGAAGACAATCAATAGAAGGAAATTAGAATTAAGTGGGAATCAGGAAAGGCTTCCTGTAGAAGGTGGGAATTTGGCTGGGATGTGAAGGAAGCCAAGAGGCAGAAATGAGGGGGTAGTATTGCAGGCATGGGAGACAGCCAGTGAAAATGCCTGGAGATGAGAGATACAGTGTCTTGCTTGAGGCACTGCAAGGAGACCAGTGTCACTGATCAAACAATACATGGGGAACGAGTAAAGGCATAAGAAGCTTCTAAAGATTGTTAGGGAGGGGGTGGGGAGTGTGATAGGTTGTGAAAGGCTTTGAATGCCAAATAAAAAATTTTATATTTTATTCTGAAGGTGATAGGAAGTCACTGGAGTTTATTGAATAGGGGGTGATGAGGAAAGAGAATCCACTTTTGTCCTAGCACTTATCCTAAATTGTTTTTATGGTTAATTAAATTGTCGTGTGTGTATCTCAGCCCTCCAAGTAGAATGCGAGCTTTTCCAGAGCAGGCACCCATCTCCCCTCAACCTGCCACCAGCCAGCACAGTACTTCAAGAATAGTCCACTTCGAATACATGTTTGTTGAAGGAATTAACACATGTAGAAGCTAAACAGAAGGACCTTATTGGACAGAGAAGATAAAGAGTTAGAAAGATTGGGTATGGAGAGGGTTGGGAGGAAGCAATGAATGAAGGCGTAGCAAAAGAACTTAAATTTGATCCTACAGGCAAAGAGAGCCATTGTAGGTCAGTTTAGGAGGAGAATGTGCTCATAATGAAAGCAGTATTTGAATATGATTATTTAAGCAGCCTTCTCCAGATTCAGTTGTAGCAAGGAGTTGCCAGAAGCAGGGGAATCAGCTAGAGGGTTGTTGAAGTGATCTAATCATAAGATGATGAAGGCCTAGAATATGGTAGTGGTAGTGGAATGTCAAGAAACCCAATGAACCAAGAGGTTGGATTTAGAAGAGGAGAGAAAGGACTGAAAATAAGGATAAGATGGTGGTACTAATTACCACAATGGAGACCTTGTTTAGGTGAGGAGAAAATGAGTTCAGCTTTCAATATAAATCAATACCTTTTACTTGATGATCTGTAAATATCCAAATATGTCCTCACATGAAAAAAAAGTGTGGATATATAAAATAACACCCCTACTAACTTACCAGCGGTATGGATTGTGCTTTGACCATACCTGTGTAAAAATGACATATGCATGTAACCTATATGCACACATGAGCACATCCTATGTATATGGTATATAATATTTATACATTCATTTAGATATATAGGCATGTATGTGTGAGCTTTGGATTGTTTTCCAGTAGTTGGGATGGGTTTTGTTGATCCATCCTATACTGAACTAGGCCAAAGTTGGGCTGGTCCAATGATTCAGGTTTGGGGGTTAAAATGTAACAGGCCACTTGTGGATCATAAAGTGCAATAAAGAAACTTTACTAATAGTAGGAAATTAAAAGAATACAGCTTCTCAAAAAGGATATATTCTCCTCCTATCACCATAGCAATGAGTCAAGCTCAGTCATAAACTCAGGTTATATCCTTTGACACCAATTCCCATTTGTCTGAGTCTTTTTATACTTCAGGTGTCAAGGAAGCCAAATGGACTCCCCTTCTCCTTAAGCCAACAACCCAGCATGTACCTGCCTCACAGGTCACTGGCTAGGGCTACCAAAGAAAGACCAGGAGAAAAGAGGTAAAAGAGAAAGGAAAAAGAAGAAAAAACTGGCCACACCAGCTCCTTCCTCAGGGCCCCCCACAAATCTCCCCAGTCTACCAAATTGCAACATATCTATCACTTGCTACTTTCTTTTATTTCCATTGCCTTATCTTCTCATATTTACACTGTTAAAAAAAAAGTTTTACTGATACTTTTGATTTTTACATCACATTTTAGATATAACCCTCCTCTTTTCCCCCTCCTAATTAAAATTTCCATTATATCAAAGAAAAACCATTAAACACCAACAATGGGTACAGAGACCATTTCTGACAGTATATTCAACATTCTTCCCTTGTAGTCCCCTACCTCTCTGACAAAACAATTGTAATCACCTTCTAACTGTTCTCTACATGTTAGTCTTTTTCCTCTGCTCTCTCCAATCTTCCCAATATGCTGCCACCACTTTAACTTTCTTAAAGTATGGCCCTACTTATATCATTCTATTCCTTAAAACTCTCCAATTCATTTAACTCCAAGCCACTCTGCATCCCCTCCCCAGTTGCCTACTGGATAACATCCAAATTCGTTAATCTAGAATTCCAGTCCATCTAAACTATCTAATATAATGACCTCCCACTACTCCTCTGCTGAACTCTCTGTTCTAACCAAACTGATCTACTCATAGTTCCTTGAAACACAATCTCTACAGGTTCCTTCCAGGAGTAAAATTCAATGACATTTTCATCTTCCCTGCCCCTTTACTTACAATCTTCCTCCTACCAGGAATATCTTACCCTTTATCTTCACCTATGGAAATCCTACCCACAATTGTGCATTGTGAGGGCATGCAATCGGGACTATGATGTTTCAAAACAATTTATCAATAAAAAACTGAAAAAGAAATTCCTACCATTTGAGGCCCAACCTAAATCCCTCTTAGAGTTCTTCTTGGATGGATTGGTTGTCAAACCACTAGTTGCTTTATGGGAAAGGTCACAGCCAATCACCTATCATCAGCTTCTGGCTCTTCCTCAGTGCTGAAACCAAAGTCTAACAATTTTCTGCTCTCTCAGGATGGCACTTCTAAGCTTCTTCTCGAGATGTCTTCTCTACAGAATAAGAGTTAAACTCATTCTTCTCAAATGTCTCTTCAGACTCTTTCTCCATGGCGATTAACTCACTTCATTCTTGACGAAAGGACCTTCTCTTCATGCCTCATACAGAGTGTAGGCCACGACAGTTAACTGTTGCTACATGACAGTTAAACTGACTCCCCAGTATTATATTTTTCTTAAAGACATAGTAACAGTATATATTTTCTGTAGGGAAGACCATTTAAACTAGGGTTACTTTTTTTCCCCATGCCCAAAATGTTTCAGTCCCTTACAGATCATTGGGTTAGATCAAATCAATGTTAATATCATGTATAATCAATACATAACAGTGAAAATCATTACTAAGATTTGCACATATATAATATATACACAATATGATACATGTACATGTTTCAATAGTACAGTCAAGAAGAAAACTACAGCAGTAGCAATAATAAGTATATAGAATAATACGTGGATAACACTGCATGTATTGATGCAACAAACAGTAGAAATAACTCATTGAATAGTGAAATAGGCAATCCATACAAAATATATAACAATATAGGTTGCAATAGCAAAGCAACATTAGATATACTTCATCTTTGTGACATCTTATCTATAATAAGAGGATTGGCCAGGTGACCTCTAAGATTCCTTCCAGGTTTGTTGTCCCATGGTACTTCAGGTATTCTATCCTATAATCACTAGGTTGTATTGAAATTTCCATATGTGTATATTATGTGTATACACACACATTTACTCCTTTTTTTTTCAAACTCTCTGATCTCAATAGGCTTTAATATTGTTGAAGTTGATGTACTTACAATTTATTAACAAGATAAAAAAATACAAAGGCATTTAAATATTTTAACAATATATCAGCTATGACATGAGAAAGATCACAGCCTTTAACTATTATCTGCAACTGCTAACTCCTCCACAGACACTGAAACGATAGCTCAAGAATTCACGGGACGGTAAATTCTCTTAGGAATACTCTTCGGGATATCCTCTCCACATCATATCTTCTCCACAGCCCAAGTTAAGCTTGACTCTCTAAAAATCCCTCTTCAGATTCACTCAGTCTCTCAGATTTTCTGCTGGTGCCTTAGACCATTTTGCTTGAGCTACAATAATTAACTCCTTCCAGAACGATAGTTAAACTTTCTCTCGCCTCAGAGTCTACTCCCTTTTAAGGAAAAAGTAACAGTATCCATAGTTTCTATGAGAGGCAGTTGAAGCTGGGGTCTTATTTCTCCCTGTGAGTGGTAATTTTTCAGTCCCTGAAAAATCATTTGGGGGAGGTATGTCAAATCCATAGCAATGGTATATCCCCAAATACGTCCTGAGAGAGCATTGCAACATTAGCAGGAATAACGTAATAGATATATAATAACAATATATGTATAATAGCATGTGGGAATTAAAAACATGTATCAATAAAACAGAAACAGTAACCCATTGCATGATGAAACATGTAATTTATACAATATACGTAAGAACATGGGTTGCAATTACATAGCAATATTAAATATAATTCATCAGGAACTACATCTGGTTGTGTGAGTAATCACCATTTCTCCTGCAACATTGTAAATTACTTTGTCAGAGGTCAGATGGCTCTGGGCTTTTTTTTAAATATACTTATCTTTTTTTGTATATATACCTGAACTTGTTGATGTTATGGGCTGACTATCATCTCTAAGTTTTATAGACTGTCTCTTTTCCCCAAGGGTCTCTGTAGATGAGGTTCTAAGCAGGAAAGGTGTTGCCTCTGGGTTTAGCGCCTCCCCTCCAAACTTTGTCTTAAATGGGTCCTATTCATTCATTCTTAGGCAAAGTTACTGGGGGTGGTTAAATGGTCAGCTTTTGAAGACTTCTGTCACCAAATAATTTATTGCCCATCAGGTGTGTGTGTGTGTGGGGTCCATGAGGGGCTATTAGAGAGATGTGAATGGATTTTGATCTGCAAAGGTAAAATGAAATCATAGATCTTTGGAAATATTTGTCAGACCCTGCAGGAAATTAGTCTGGGAAGGAAGAGGAAAGAAGAATGGTAGAGTGGAAAGCTTGTCATATCTAGAGTCAAATCCTTGTTCTTCCACTTAGAACCCGTGTGACTTTGGGCAAGTGGTTTTACCTCTTTCCTGATCTGTCAAAGGAGATGGCTAGATTGTAACTTCTAAGGTACTTTCCATTTCTAAATTTGTAATTTTATGAACTTTCATCAGAAGCATGCTTCCTCTTCCTCAGTTCCCCTTTTATCTCCACACTCTTCTCTTTAAAATAAGGGCTATGACTAGACTGCATTCCTTAATCTTCATTGCAAGTCCAGAGTCCCACTTAATGCCTCTGAAACCAATAGCACTCAGCTTCCCAGAGGACCCTGACTTGGGTCAAGTTTGTCCTTGCTATGTTCTCCCCACATTCTGGTTGTAGCTAGGTGGCAGCTGCCTGACAAAGTATACAGATGCAGTCAATCTCTCTTCTCCTCTCCTCTCCCTCTCCCTCTCTTCTTTTCTCCCTCTCCTCTTCTCTTCTCCTCTCCTTTCCTCAAAATACTTTGAGAGCGGAGTTGGAGAAACAATGGATCATAGAATTTAGAAGTGGAGGTAATCTTAAAGATTCTCTAGTCCAAACCTTTCATTTTACAGAGAGGGGACATAGGTCCAGAAAGGTGAAGGATCTTGTGCATTGTTATATAGGTAATAAGCAGGAGATCTAGGATTAAAATTCAAGTTTTCTGGCTCTAGAGTCAGCGTTTTTTTTTCATTAACCATATTATCTCAGGTTCCTTCCTTTCTTTGGAGTTGTTGCTGGATAGATTATGAAAGTGGCTGCGAGGGAAAGAGGATGTGGAGAAGTCTAGGGTATCTTATGAGTGGGGGTGGGGCAGGAAGAGCAGGAAAGGGATGGAGCAGCATTCTTACTTTGGTTTGATGAAAGCCAGAAAAAAAGGCTGGAGAAGGAGATGTGAGAGGAGGGAGTTCCCAATTCTCTTCCTGCAAGAGGATACCCTCCCCATCCCTCTCTGTGTGGTTTTACCTGCTTAGCACCTCTAGATATTTCTAGAAGTATGAGGCTGAGAAAGAAGTTTACATTTTTGTACTAAACAATAAATAGGAAATAATGGCACACACTGAGAAAGTTACCATGGAATAAGTGTGTACGAGAGGGGAAAAGAACCCAGAGGGAGAGAATTTGGCATCACTTCTCTTTCCTTCTCCACTGATATCTGCATTGACAGATCCTCCTCTGGAGGGCGTCCATGGCTGCCAGTATAGAACCTGTCTGGGACTGAAAAGATTTTTCATTAACAGGTTGTAATGTCACCTAGCCAGGCCAGAGCTTCACCAAATGCTGTGTTCTATCACACATGGTGACTTTTTCTCCTAGATCTCAGTGTTCTAAGGAGTTTCTTTGTTGAGATTTGGGTTTCTGGAGGGTTAAGGTTTTTGCTTCACTCAGCATAAAACCCAAGGGCAGAGGGGCTCAGCAAGGATCTGGCACATTCCTTTTTTAGCACTCATTCATTAACTCATTCATTCATTTATTCATCAAAGATTTATTGCAGATTCATTATTGGCAAAGGGCTGTGGAAAATGCAAAGGTATTTATGTTAAATCATCTTCAAGGAATTTACAATCTGGTAAGGATAAGACAGGCACACAAATAAGGACTAAGATGTCCAAAGAGAGGCACAAGGTGCTAAGAGGGTTCAGGGAGGGAGGGTTCACTCTTGCTAGGGTAATGAGAGGGGCTTTATGGAGGACATGACAATTTCAATTGAAATCTGAAGGATGACTAGGGTTTTTATAGGTGAAGATAGGAGAGTATTCTAGGCAGAGAGAATAAATAGCATGGACAAAGGCTCAGAGGTGGGAGCAGGTAAGCTGTCCTTACGAGGCATGGGTAAGGGAGTGGTAGAAGATAAAGTTGGAAGTACAGATTGGGGGAAAATGTAGAAGGTCTTGAATGCCTACCCAAAGAGCTTGAACTTTTTTTTTAGTAGAATTTTATTCTGTAGAAGGACATAGCTCAAGAGGAGAAGAATTCAAGGTTGGAGGCAAATTTAATCCAAAGAAGAGGATTTAGGACAGATAGGGAATGGTCAAAGAGGTGGGAGAATAGCCAGGACGATGTTTGGCAAAGCAAAGGGGAACATTTTTTTTTAAGAAGGAAAGGGTTGTTGTCAGTGTCAAAAGCAGCAAGGAGGTTCTGGAGAATGAAGACTGAGCAAATCCATTGGATTTGTTAATTAAGAGGTCACTGGTGACCTTAGAGCAATTTCAGTAGAGTGATGAGGACAGAAACCAGATTTCAAGGAATGAGTGGGAGGTGAAAAAAGGGAGGTAGTGAGCATAAATTATTCTTTGTTGAAGTTTGACAGTGAAAGGAAAAAGAAAAGATAGGATGGTAGTCTGAGGATGTAAGAAAAAGTTCTTTGTTTTCTTTATTCCTTCCTCCCTTCCTTTCTCTCTCTCTCTCTCTCTCTCTCTCTCTCTCTCTCTCTCTCTCTCATTCCTTCTTTTTCTTTCTCTCTTACTTTCTTCCTTCTTTCCTTCTTTATTATAGAGGCATGAGCATGTTGTGAGTTGAGGAGAAGGAGCCTGTAGGGAAGAGATTTAACAAGCAAGAAAGAGGGGATAGTTACATTCCTTACCACGATACATAGTAAAAACTTGATACATCTTTGTTAAATTAGTACAGGAATTATGGAGAAAGGTCCAGGTGGACACAAATGATTTGCTATTTATTTAGCACTTTATAAAAAAGAGTGTTTTATGTACATTTTCTCTTTACAACAACCATAAGGAGTTGGTGCCACAGGCATTATTATTATCTTCACTTTACAGATGAAGAAACTGAGGCTCAATGAGGTTGTAACTTGCCTGTCATGACACAGTTAGTGTCAAATAAATCACAATCCTGATAGACTTAGTATTTAAACCTAGGACTCTTCTGACTGAGTATATTATTCTACTACACTTCCTTTCCTAAGTCAGCATTACAGTGGGGGAAAATGTTGAATTTGGAATCAAAGGGCCTGGGTTCAAATTCTGATTTGGCAGCTTACTTACCTGTGTGATTTTGTACAAGTCACTTAACTTCTGGGCTTTAGTTCTCTCATCTATAAAATGATGTGAGGGGAAAACAAGACCAT